TAAAGTTGCCCCATGTTATATAAGTATACTGTATTATTATTATTATCATGGAAACGATAATTTTCTTGAACGTATCTACGAACTACTTCATACGAACAGCGTGTGTGAATGAAAAAACTGTATATTTCAACATTTTTCTTTCTGATTTACTGATCCTGATCTAAATTTAGTAACTGGTTAACTGAACTCATTCAAAATCCAATATCGTGGCCTGGATGAGAGGCAGTTCCCGCAGGAGACGTCAAAGGTGTGTGGTGAATGAGGGATGGTGAGAGCTGGTGGTGGACCCTCACGCGCTTACCACCTGGGGGTAAATCATGGCACCACTTGCCCGAGTTAGGGTGATCCTGGCCAGAGAGGGTGAGAGAGTGAGTGTGAAAGTTAGAGAAAAAGAAGATTGTGAGGGACATTAAAAGACTTTGATGGGCAGAGAAAGAGAGAGAGAGAGAGAGGGAGAGAGAGAGACAGACAGAGAGTTTTACCAGGCAGGAGGGTGTATTGGTACTGTCAATCTCCCCTAATAGGTATCACCATCCTTGAGTCCGATGATATAACACCCTTGAGTACGATGACTTGACCCCTTGAGTACGATTAATTTTTAACCCTTCGAGTACGACGATGACTTAAGCCATGAGTATTATGATATTACGATATTATATACAAGAAAATTAAGTCATCATACTCGAGGGGTTAGTAACTACACCAACCCGTCAACAAATACCATGAACTCTCTATTTCTATCATCAATCTACAATGAAGGATAAGATACTGTGAATAATACAACATATATATATATAATGACTCTGGTTATGATGAACTAACACTTTAAATGATGTAAACAAGAAGAAAATACCATCAGGGGTTTCCAGTACTCTTACAGCCTACTGACACCTTTTTTACTCGTCTTGATTTCAGTATTTTCGCCTTGCCGCTTTACCGTGTGCGTAGGGATCTGGAGGCATTTGTGTCATGTTACTACAAGTGTCAGATGATGGTGTTAAGTTTTAGGGAAGTGTCAGATGATGGTGTTAAGTTTTAGGGAAGTGTCAGATGATGGTGTTAAGTTTTAGGGAAGTGTCAGATGATGGTGTTTCAGGGAAGTGTCAGATGATGGTGTTTTAGGGAAGTGTCAGATGATGGTGTTTCAGGGAAGTGTCAGATGATGGTGTTTTAGGGAAGTGTCAGATGATGGTGTTTCAGGGAAGTGTCAGATGATGGTGTTTTAGGGAAGTGTCAGATGATGGTGTTTTAGGGAAGTGTCAGATGATGGTGTTTTAGGGAAGTGTCAGATGATGGTGTTTCAGGGCAGTGTCAGACGATGGTGTTTTAGGGCAGTGTCAGACGATGGTGTAAAGGCTTAAGAATAAGAAAACAATGTGATGATAAGAGAAAAAATATTAATGATAAAAGGAGGAAAATAACTTCATAATAAAGGGGAATAGAAAAGTACAGAGATGTAAGGGAAGAAGAAAAGGGTTTGATGAAAGGGGGAAGAGCAAGACTCGATGAAGAAGAGAGGAAGAAGAGTAGTAGAACGAAGACAATAAGAAATGCAGGAGAAAGTGACGTCAAGAGGGGGAGGAGGAAGGTGGTGAGGAAATGGGGAGTAGGAGGAGGAGGAGAAGGGAAGATGGTGTCGCAGAAGGAAGAGAAAGAAGAGGAGGATGGTGCAGGAGGAAGTGGGGGAGGAGGAAGAGGAGGCCCGGTACCTCTTCTCTCACCACATAAATCTTGCCTCGGGTGTCCATCACGACGTGGTCAGTAGTCTGGTCTGATAGAATGGACGTAACTCGCACATGCGGTCTCCAGTACACACACACACACACACACTCACACATTCACAATTCCCATGTTTACAATGACAAGCAATTTCCATTCTGTTACATAAGGTACTCAGCCGGAACAGCTATACACGGTTTACTCGAGAACTGGACAGAACGGAAATGGTTTGTTTAACACATTCTAAGAGCGACGTAAAACAAGTACCAGAATTATACAAAGGAACTTAAAAAAATATGCAGGTGCAGCCTTATAAAAACGTACTTAATATTTCCATTTCCGTATATAATATTTCCTTATTTCCTATTTCCCCCATCAGATACAACTCCATCTAGTGCCCGAATTTGCGTTACCATGTCGTGGTACAGGAGCTCGAATTGTCACCTAAAGGTCCAACCGCATTGCCTAATTTGCCTCCCGTGCAGTGAGCCACCGAGATCTACCAAGTACTGTCCGAACAAAACAAAGCCTTGGACATTCAACACAACTACGGAATGTGAGGACATTATATAAGGCTGGTAAGTATATAAATGTTTGTAGGGAATGAAAATATTGCAGTGATACAATCTGGGATTAAAGGAAGTAAAATCAATCATCAGAGTACCGGCCTTATATCTGAGGGTTGGTGACCACAGTCCTCCTCGTTCTCGGGCTGTTTTTACCAAGCCTCTAAGGTTTTGTATCTCTCTGGGGCCCAAGTTTATCATCCATCCCAGTTTCTACCTTCCCTCCTACCCCCAACTTTGTCCATTAATATTTCTCTTATTATCCCCCATCCCTAATTATGTGATCAAATTATCTCATTTTCTTTCTCTGCACATTTCAAGTATTTCTCTTAAAGTTTTTGTTAATCTTGGTACTTCTTCATTTATTTCCCTGTCAATGTAGTTTATTCTTAGCACTCGCCTATCCTTAACATCACATTTCAAAAGCGTCCAACCTCATTCTGATGTCTGCTGAAAATGTCCACGCTTTTGACCTTACGATAGTCCTTGCCATATAAAGTCTTTGAGCAGCCTTTTTTATCAAATTGAAGTTAATGTCTCTTTTCATTAGGTCTTTTAAATTATTAAATGCTGTTTTTGCTTGACCTATTCTCGTTTTGATTTCTTCCATACATCTACCCTCACAGCTAATGTTACTTCCCAAATAACCAACTTTTACTTTCGTCTTTACAGCATTAACTCTTAAACCATACTTTTCACCCTTTTACACTAACCTGTTAACGAGTTTTGTAATGCCTCTTCTCAATACTACCATGACAAAGCATAATATGATCATCAATATAATAAAAGTTTGATTTTGGCCTACAGAAAAAAATTATAAATGTTATCCAAAAAGAATGAGAAAAAACACCGGATGTTGTTTTAAATGAGATGTGAAAAATATTTTAAAAAGGTGGAAATATATTAAGATGCAAAAAAATGAAAGAAAACTAGAAATATATTAAGTGGTGTAACATACCAGGAAATAACAACATAAAATAAATCATTACTTCTATCAGCAAAAAAAAATTAATAAATTAACTAAATAAATAATAAAGACTAGACTTAGAGGAAAATATTTTACTCCTGATGATAAATTGAAAATACCATTATCCAGTAAAGTTTGTTTTTATCTATTTACATAAATTTATTCCTTTTTATACATTCATTTGATTCATCTACAGACATCAACATGTAATAATTCTTTAATAAAAATATACAGATTTCTTGTAAACAATAACAAAACTCAGTGAAGGTCCTAAACAATTACCATAACGACTATACACAAACTGTCACTGTGCAGGTACTTAATAAATAGTAGCGCATCTGTGTTACAAAGTACTGTACTAGCACACTTTATCTTTGAATCAATAATTGATTACATCTATTTCACCACATTTCGTTAAGGCCTGTGAGAGGTTACTGGCCGGGTATGGAAATTATAATACAAAAACAATCTTTCAGTTTAACATGGAACACTTTATAGCACAGGCGGAAACTATGCTTACTCAACGCGCGTGCATAAGGTACAGCATTAGTTGAACTATACATCAGGGATATTTCTAAACTGATTATGATATTCCTTGTTACTCTCCATAAGCAATATTTACTAGAAACTTGTTACTATCAACACACACACACACATAATATATACAGTATATATACAGTATTTAATGAGGAATAGCCCACCCGAGCACATACCATATTTAAATCCATGTTTGTTGCAAGAGTGACACGAAGAACCAAACCAAATCTCTCTCATCTTTAGTTGGTATAAAAGTCGTCGGCAACAGCTGCCATCCTCAAGACATCCGTTTATTGTTAATATAAACTTGTAAAGAATATGGGACTCCGTGTTGACTTGTATACAATATACTACTTGTACTAGTTTATCCTTCCCTAACTACGATCCTTCCCGGGAGTCTCTTCCTCACCCGGCCTGTTGAACAGTGGTCGCCCTCCTCTGTAACAAAGTAATTGATCAATATTTCTACCGAGTCTACAATCCCGAACCGCTACAGGTTCTAAGTTAGACACTATACACGTTGAAAAACTGGCGGTACAACCAAACAACTTTAGATGTCTGGAGATAACAGTAATTTATCGTTAAGTTATTTAAGTGAAAGTGGGTCCCATTGGCATGACAGTGTGTATACAGCACACTGTATACTAATAATTTCAGTATCAAAGGAGGCTGCACTCGCCCGCCTTCACTTCCTTAGATTACTGCTAGTCTCACCTCTCGTACTCAGGCTGTATCAGGACTCTAATGGCAGTTATACTGTTAGCTGGTAATTAATGAACCAAGTTAAATGTGTGAGATGTTACACTAGTAAGGTTATTCTCGTTCTCGGTAAATGAAACCCTTCAGGTGTTGAGAACATGAAACGGTTCACAGGTCAGAACTTAAACAACAAGTACTGTAGTCGAAACTGTGAGTGTTTAACTGGCGGGTCTGGTTAGTTCGTAGTATCTCTTGCACGCTGTGACAATATGCTTCATAAATAAGTAGTGCCACTCTAAATTTAAGCAAGTTCATTCATTAACGTTTAGCTGGCCATGGAGATTCATTACACCACCAGCTGGCCAGGGAGATTCATTACACCACCAGCTGGCCAGGGAGACTCACTACACCACCAGCTGGCCAGGGAGACTCACTACACCACCAGCAGGCCAGGGAGACTCACTACACCACCAGCTGGCCAGGGAGACTCACTACACCACCAGCTGGCCAGGGAGACTCACTACACCACCAGCTGGCCAGGGAGACTCACTACACCACCAGCTGGCCAGGGAGACTCACCGCCCTACAGCGTGAGAGGAGACAGACTTGTGGGACTTGGCCAGGGCGTCGAGCTTGACATCGAGGTGGTCGGTGGCCTCAGCGATGTCCTGTTGCTGCTTCAGGAATGTCTTAAGCTTCTCCTCCAGCTTCTCGCTCCGCTGCTCGAGGTGGTTTACATCGGACTGCAGCTGGTCGAGGCGTACCTGTAATGTTGGTGCAGCTGTGATGTTCATATTGTAAACTGAGAGGTGTTTCATCAGTGCCCCTACAGATGTAAAGAACAAGTAAAATATGTTGGAAATGTGAAAAAAAATGGGAGAACTGAAGAGGAACGTTAAATGTGCAGGACCTCACATGAAAATAGGAAAACATGAGACGACCTCGTGGAATTAGGCGAGAGTAATCGAACTTCAGGTGGAAATTTTCAAATAGTTTCAGGGGAAAATAACCCAAGACTAAACCTGATAATGAATCTCTCACTATTTATTTTATAATGTGGTAACAACTTGTTCTGTGTTACTCATTATTTCGTTTGCCGACATAACAACGTTGTATATACATTATTTTAGGTTAGGTTAATAATGATACTATTTATTTATAATTTGTAATAGTTTATTGGTTTACTTAACGTAATTTAGATATTGGTTGGATATGTTGTGTGTGTGTGTGTGTGTGTGTGTGTGAGTGCGTGTGTGTGTGTGTGTGTATTCGCGTGTCTGTGTGTATATTTTCAGCCTTGCTGCTGCCATGCTCTTTCAATAAACCTTTAATAATTACTAATTATTATTATCATTATTACAGACACTCAGACGGACGGACAGAAACTTAGACAGACGGACAGACACTCAGATGTACGGACAGACACTGACGGACGGACAGAACCATACAAGATACGTCTGTTTTCTTTAAATTGACAACCAAATGGCATACACCGTCTACACATCATATAATATTGGCACCAGCAGTGTTATACCTTATGCACCACACAGGTGAGGGTGAACCAAGTTGTCAACAGGACGCCGCCCGAGATAATAATGAATCATATCGTTAATCACACGCACAGGGGAACGATGGCCCACACAGACAGGACGTCGATCAATAACTATTTCCTGAATGCTGGAGAGATAGTGACCGGGTAGGAAGAATATGTTTATTGTATCACGTGAAAAGTTTTATGTTTCTTCTTTATCCAATGCTATAATATTACGTTTGTTGTACAGTGAAAGATAAGAAGTTTTATTATTTCCTCTTTTTGCGTAAAGTTTTCAGGCTGTAGCGCTAGAAAAGGTTGGGTTGTCTCTGTAGTCCGTGTCATTGTAACGTTATGCCGATAAAAAAATATTCACCATTAAGGTTTTTAACTTGAAGGGAATATACTTCGAATCGGGTGCAGGATGCTGTACCGCCCTCCCTCCACCCGGCCACCGCCTTGGTTCACGGCCACAATGTATTGACCTCTCATCTGGTAACTGTGTTGTGGGGTGCAGGTGTAGGATAACTCCACCAGATGCCGAGCTTGCGTGATGTTTTCCTCTCCCCTCCCCTCCCCTTACCACACCCAAACCCCCTTGACCCTTTCCACCATCTTTGATGAACCCCCATGACCCTCCCCCGTGTCACCACTACCCATCCACCTCCCCTTGGCGCCACTCCCCCGCCCCCCCCCCTTTAGACCTGGATGTCGACCACTCATGAGGTCACGGGATTATCTATTGTATCGTGAATCTTCCAAACGAATTTTAACCAAACACAAAATATTAACTTTTTATGAGATGTAAACATTAATATTACGTTATATATATATATATATATATATATATATATATATATATATATATAAATATATAGACGGGAATCTAACCCTGGACATCTGCGTGCGTGTTAGTGTAAATGAGAGCGACCTCATATGTGCATACATGTGTACCTCTAATTAGACAGCTTATACTGTCGTTGACTACACGCAGTCAACGGTCAACACTCAGGCTCATGGGGACACCTGTAGCTCCTCCCATACACGATCACAAACAAGCTGTCACGTTTTACTCCTGTAAACACGAGAGGCTTATGACTTATGACACGCTACATTTTATGTGTCAAGAGAGCTATACACAGTGGTCTACTACTAATAATAATGGTCGCCCCTCGTGTACAAGGATGGCCGGCCCTAGGGCCAACAAGACGTGAATTTGTTTAACGTGTAGAAGCTGTCACCAAAACAACAACCACACTCTGAGTTAACGAGCTGCATCACACACACACACACACACGGGTCAGGACAAAAGCACCAACCAAGAATGATAAAGATTGTGAAGAAATACAACTTTGAATGAACAAATGTGAAAGAAAGAAATTAGGAAAAAATGCAATTGTGAAAGTAAATGAGTGTGAAAGATTATACATGATGAGCGTGTATACAATACCAAGTGCCATGAGAGAGGTGGCACGCTTGGGACACGGGTGTAAGTTGAAGGCCAAGTCAGGTCAAGTGACTCTCCCAGACTCATTACGTTAGTCTTGTCAGTGTCAGGTGTAATGGGCCTTCACTAACCTAGCGAAAGTTTGGAATTACAAGTGCGGATAGATACTGTTAAGTCACTGATTAATTTTCACTTGTAACAGAGGAAGATATTGCCACCGTCAAACTATTGGATGTATGGTAAACTAAAGAATTTGGGATACAACTTTTATTAACATGGCAAACTACTAAATGATTTGTGATGTGAAGTTCGACTGGTTACATTAGTCATATCCTGTACTAAGGGTCTCTGATTAACTCCTAGGGTATCCCCAGTCCACCCAGCTGTGAATGGGTGCATGATTATACACTTGGGGAATTAAAGATGATCAAATGCAGTTCTGATTGAGGTGTAATCCACAGTCACTAATGGACAGACGGAACTATAAAACCCATTTTTATTTTTATTTATTTTGTATTTGTTAACTGAATGGAGTACGATTTTGTTTAGCCTAGTGCAAACTTCTTGATGATTTGACCTTAATTCTCTCATGATGTACGAGCCTCTTGTTAACCTGTCATAAAAAACGAGCTTCTTGATTTAACCCAACCCTAACACGAGCAGGGAGACCGAACCAACACACTCACTCGTCTGTTACAGGTTATATATCTGGATGACGACGACAGTGCCCACGAGGACGACGACAGTGCCCACGAGGACGACGACAGTGCCCACGAGGACGACGACAGTGCCCACGAGGACGACGACGACAACAACAACAACCCCCCTTCCAAAACAGATGAGGTAAGCAAGTAGTTCACCTCCTCGTTGTTGTGTAATATTCTCCCTAAGTACATTGCAAGACCAGATATTACATCAATTAAAGAACAAATCACAAGATGGATACCAATTAATAAACACAAGTCACTAAGGTATATTTTCTTATAACTAAATGAATAGGAAGACTTTATGCGTCCAAATTTGAAGCCGGAAATATATTCATTGAGTTTAGAAAAAGTTTAATGGCATAATTATTCAAATTGGGGAATAACCTGCACGGGGGTGAGGTCTCTAATTTCATCTATTATACTCTGGCTATGAGGATCGATAAGAAAAACTGATAAATAACAAGGAAAGGAGAGAGAGAGAGAGAAAGAGAGAGCAACTCGACCAGCGGTGTCTAACCCCAGACTTGAAGACTCGCGTGACAACCACCGGAAAAAGAAAAATCGCGCGGAAAATATCAGCTGTAGATTTTGACATAAGAATAATTATTACTCAATTAAAATACGAATTCAAAGAGAAAAGAGTGCAGTGGAATTTATAAAAGATTTTAGAGTCGAAATAATAAAAGAGAGGTTAGAGTTTCGTGTAGTGAGCTGAACATTATGAGATTGGACGGTAGGACGGAAGTAAAAAAAAATTGTGGGGATTAGAATATTTTGAAATGTCAGAGAGAGAGAGAGAGAGAGAGAGAGAGAGAGAGAGAGAGAGAGAGAGAGAGAGAGAGAGAGAGAGATATTCGCCAATTTCATTATTTTCGGAAAAGAATAATGATACAGTATTGATGTGTTTACAGATACAGTCACATGGAAGCACGCACACAGCTGCATTGCATACGTTCACACACACACACACACACACACACACACACACACACACACACACACACACACACACACACACACACACACACACACACACACACACACACACACACGTTCATACACAAAACACAAACTCATAAACATACATATTTACATAAATGGTGTTATGGATGTACATTTTCAGTTTCTGTATAAGACATACATACATACATACATACATCCATACATACATACATACATACAAACATACATACATACATACATACATACATACATACATGTGCACAAAGGAAAACAAGAATAAACACAAACAAGAATAAAGATAAACACGAAGACACACATGAACTGTTTACTTCAACAGTAGTTTTTCTTTTGAAACTAAAACTTGACCAAACAACAGTGGCAGGTCGAGTAGATTCGGTGTCTTGTTGAGATTACATATAGAAGAAAAAAAAGAAACAAGAAATTATTGAACCTTGAAGGGAGAGGAGTCGAAAAACAAAATGTGTGAGAGAGAGAGAGAGAGAGAGAGAGAGAGAGAGAGAGAGAGAGAGAGAGAGAGATAACATGGCGAGAATTACAAGACCTTAGTAGGCTATCTATCTCCCCCTAACAACATACGCTAAGAAACTGTGAAGTAAATAAAAATAAAAAGGCACAAAAATACTGAGAACCAACACAGAGAGAGAGTGCGGTGTTCTTTTAATCTGGAAGCGGTGTACAAATAACAAACCCTGTGTTAGTTAGTGGGTGTAGGAGGGAGTAACTTATAATAAATGGGTAAAAACTGGTATAAATTTCTTAGTCTTGATTTCATCGTTAAACTTGGCCAAATAAATTGTATATGGGTAAACCGAAACCAAACGTGGCTTATTATTCTCAAAATTAAAACAAATAAGATATTAATGTTATTTTAATTGGAAGCAAGAATTTCTATAAAAGTTGATAAAATAATTAATCAAAATATTTAATAGTACAAACATACACGTACACACTGATGTGCGTGTTAATGTTTATTATCAAAGGTAAATTTTGTATTTACATTAATTTGTCGTCTCACCATAACAAGTTTACAGCTGATGTTATCAAAATATTGACTCGACCATAACCCGATGATTCTCTATAATTATCCTTTATTTTTTCTTAATTTTATCTGATGGTGGAGGTTATTTTTAACTTCAATTATATTTTCCACTAGCTGGGTCACTATAGGTTGGCCGGGTTTCTTTTTAAGAAGTAATGTTAACCAGAATGGGTGTAACCACCACCTCCACCACGTTCAACTTTTAGGTGGGGCTCATCTCCCAATTTAGGCAAACGTCAACATTCGGGACTATTTTCATAAATATGCCTTATATACAGTAAGCCCTCTAAAAATTCGTGGGCATGCATAGCAAAAAACAGATGTGTTTTTAATGAGGAAGTTCCATTTTGGGGGGTTAGGGGTCAACCACTGGGACCAATCCCCTAAAAACTACAGTTCTGGGGTGTTAGCTCATCTACGGGTCAAATTTCAACTCTCGATCTACTAATCTGTAGTCGTGTATTATGAAAATCCACAGAATCAAATAAATAAAATCTGTGCTTTATATATTGGGTATTTTTTTCATACCTTAAGAGAGACTTTCCAACCCCCGAGTAAATCCTGCACACCCAACACAGGAACTATTGAATTGTTTCTCTGACAACAAAACTGACAGCACATTACCTTGCAAAGACTTCCTGGAAATAAAAGGGAAACTGACGCTATTTAGTGTAGGGTTGAACTACATTTAATATTGAATAAGTTAAATAAAAAAAAATAAAAGCCCCTCCAGTTCAACCTTGAAATAATAAATACATTTACTATAAACAGATATAACTGAGGCGAGTAACATGTACAACAAACCAACAGTCAATAAAGTCTGATAAATGTTACAACTCAAGTCACCAGAAACTCCTAAAAAACGATCAAGAAAGTTTGATATAAAAATACAAGGAAATATTTAAAATATTGGACTCTTTAAAGCACTGACGAAAAAAATACTTCAAAATTGATCGCAGTTTACATGAACACGATTCGACGAGGAAGACAAAATAAATCAATATATCCATCAAGACGAACTAATCCCTCTGATGAGAAACTGTCACACTATGGCTGTAAGGCAAAGTGTTGGTACCTGTGTGAGAAAAAGGAAATCACTGTATAAAATTTAAGAGAATTATGCAAATTTCTACAAGACTCAAGACGAAGATAGGAAGAAATAAAAGAGGAATCGTTGTAGGAGTCTTGCGTATAAAGACTGCTATATAACACGTACGGACACTATATAACACGTACAGACACGATATAACACGTACGGACACTATATAGCACGTACAGACACTATATAACACGTACAGACACGATATAGCACGTACGGACACTATATAACACGTACAGACACAATATAAAACGTAAAAACACACTATAACACGTACAGACACACTATAACACGTACAGACGCACTATAACACGTACAGACACTATATAACACGTACGGACACAATATAACACGTACAGACACAATATAACACGTACAGACACGATATAAAACGTAAAAACACACTATAACACGTAGACACAATATAAAACGTAAAAACACACTATAACACGTACAGACACACTATAACACGTACAGACACAATATAACACGTACAGACACAATATAACACGTACAGACACAATATAACACGTACAGACACACTATAACACGTACAGACGCACTATAACACGTACAGACACTATATAACACGTAAAGACACGATATAACACGTACAGACACGATATAACACGTACAGACACAATATAACACGTACAGACACATTATAACACGTACAGAGGCACTATAACACGTAGGGACAGCAGAGGAAAACGAGTGGTTGAGATCAAAGAGGAAGAAAACATAACAGCAGTGGTGGGGACGTGGTAAAGAAGGACGTATGAACATTATACATCAAGGAAATCACCGGGTGGATCCTTAGAAGACAAGGCAACACGAAGGAAAGACCAAATACCAAATGATTTGATGGAAACAGGAAATTTAGAGGTGTTGTGGTGGCAGGAATGACTTCAGACTGTGGAGGTTGATGTGGTAATTACCCTGGAGTGGGCTTGCTATTGACTGGTAATGATAATAATGTAGGTTAATAATCAGAGATAGCTCGAAGATGATCTATACCTTAACTAACTTGATCTAAACTAAGCCTAACCTAACCTAAACCTAACTATCCTAACGCTAATCTAACCTAACTTAACCCTCCCAGGTAGCATTAATGTGGTTAATCTTCTGGTGAGTTACGAAGTTGTAATCAAAGTTAGAAAGATAATTGACTGACCTGAAGACGTTGTGTTTTAGTGTAGTGTGCGGTAGTAGGTGGCGCTGGTGACTGGTTTTTCTCTCTGCTTCTCTGACCTTCAAATAATACGTCAACAATCGATGACGTCATTGATACAGGCTCTTCATGTGCCCGCACAGGTAGTGGGGATCCCGCTTTACTTGGTGGCACGGGTAATGGGGACATCATGTTAGCTGGAAGAACAGATAACTGGGACGTGGAATTAACTGGTGCCACAGGTATTGGGGTTAACGTTTTAGCTGTAGTTACAGATGATGAAAATGACTTTGCTACCAACACAGGTAGTGGAGAGAACGATTTCGTTGCCCGAACAGATGATGAGGACAACGTTTTACCAGCAGGAACAGGTAAAAGTGACCCAGTATGGTCCTGTACCACGGGGGACCCTGACGTCACAGGCAGTGGGAGGTGCAGGTCAGATGAGGGGTGGATCCTGGCGCCCGGCATCTTTCTTCACAACTCTTTTCTCAATTTCTAAACGAAACAATTTAGTGTCCAAATTTCTTTCTTGGGTTTACAAACTCCTTTTTGAATTGTGTCTTCCTGTTTCCTAATCAGTTTTTATTATTTCGTTTTCTAAGTCATTTTCATTTTCTTCTGGAGTTATTTACTCAATTTGTGTTCTCATGCGTCCCAAAAAGCTAAGTTTACGAAACGATTATCCGCTCTGCCTCAAAAAGTTTTCGAGTGAGTTAAAAATGTTTTCTTGGGTCTATATTAATGCTCATCTATGTCTTGAAACTTTGTCTTCTGTGTAAAGATAACTTTCTCCTGTACCTACACTGACTGTCTCTTTACATCAAACACAAGTTTTTTTTTGTCTCCACAAATTATTTTTACTCGACAAAAAATTTCCTTTCGTGTATAGAAGACTTATTAACGAGTCCAGACAGAATGCATGTTCCTTTGTGTATCTTGTATAATTAAATTTGTTCACATTAAAATAGTATTTTTTTAATCTATTATATAATAAATAATACAAAGGCACTGAAGGTATAAGTGGGTGGCAGTACTATGGGTGTGGGTGGGTAACAGTCTACAGATGTGGGTGGATGACAGTACTATGGGCGAGGGTGGGCGGCACAGTACTATGGGTGTGGATAGATGGGAATACTACAGGTAGAGATAGGTAGAAGGTGGGGGGGGGGGCACTGTTCCCACACCTGAGTCCGCCTCTGGTTGAATATTGATCGTAATCATTACCCCACAAACCTTCAGGGAGTGGTTTAGCAAGACACCGTGTGTTTCACTGGGAATATCGCGCTCGGCCTCACAAACAGGCGAATGGATCTTTTTCTCACGCCTCAACCACCAAACATCACAAAACACAACACATCACGGTTTCTGGCTTTCGTGACATACAACTGTTAAAATCACGTTCCATTTCACTCACATAGAAAACTTAACTCAATGGGCGAGCTTGATTCACGTCTCTATATTCTGTTTCTGGGAAATTTGCTAAGCATTGAAGATAGCGAAGTATAGTATTGTACTGCTCACACCGACAAGTAGTTGAGTACTGGTATGGTAAGTACAGTAGAGTGATTCCTGGCTCTCAATATGTGAGCGCGTGAGGGTATGTGGAGCAGATGGGGCACTTGGGAACAGTAATGGTCAAGAAGTGGCACACGCGGGACCTGGTAGTTGAGGACTGTGTGAGACGCATGCGATCAGTGCTTCGTTTTCTGTCACACAATTGGTCGCTTCCTCCGTTTTCTAACCTTACAAAAAAGAAAAAAGAAATCAGCACTGTCTAAAGAATCAATTATCGGTCGGCGCCATTCCTCTTGGTTTAGATAAATCAATATTGTCAGTAATGAAGAAGAATGAGCAGTTCTTTATTTTTTATTCACAATTTCTTGAAAATACGGAAGAAAACAACTCAATTTCCTTTCCTTCAGGTTTTACTCAACTAATCGATTCCTCGGTATTCAAACTGATTATTTTTACCTTTTGATTTATTCTTATGTACTCAATTTATTTTCTGTCCTCTGGTAGAATCAGTCACAGCAGTAACACAGCAGCGGTAACTTAGCACTATTATGATACGAGAGACCAGCACAGGAGGAGGAACAGCACAGCAGCAGGACCAGGGGCGTCACAGCAGCAGGACCAGGGACGTCACAGCAGCAGGACCAGGGGCGTCACAGCAGCAGGACCAGGGGCGGCACAGAAGCAGGACCAGGGGCGTCACAGCAGCAGGACCAGGGGCGGCACAGAAGCAGGACCAGGGACGTCACAGCAGCAGGACCAGGGACATCACAGCAGCAGGACCAGGGGCGTCACAGCAGCGTGGACTGAAACGTCTCGGAAGAATGAATCGAAACATCAGCACAGGAAAACAAAGAGAGTGGGAACATGTCCGTAACAGAGCAAGAGTGTGAACACGTGCAGCACAGTACAGCAGTAAGAGAACAAAGTAGCAGCTGAAGCAATGTATTGGACGACTTAAAAGATTGACCTTTCTATCCACACACACACACACACACACACACACACACACACACACACACACCTCATGGTTCAGAAGAATAAAATTATGAAAAAAATATATATATAAAAATTCGACTGAGGTAATTTTCCTTGATATTTTTCACGGTATGTGTAAGAAATAATAACACTGGTGGATAATAAATTATCCTGCAGACGCGCCTGTCAGATCACCCAAACACCGATTATAATTTATAATGTCGCAGTGGACCAACACGACGGTACAGAAGTATGACACTGACAAGAGTATCCGTGATCCAGTGCCAGGGAGTGCCAGGTGAGGTGATCTCCGGCGACCACAAGTGCCAAGCCGGGTGTGTGTGTGTGGTGTTGTGGCTACACGTGGACCTCACCTCACGCGCCTGCAACCAACTGCACGCGCAGCCGGGGAGGAGGAGTATACTGTACAGTAAGTCGCAAGGGGAGAGACGAGCGAGCGTTGACCGGGTAGGGGAACGACCCGGAAAAGAGACGAAGTTCACGACGGAGGGAGAGGTAGTGGTGAGGCAGGAGGTGGTGATGGAGGGAGGAGGTAGTGGTGAGGCAGGAGGTGGTGATGGAGGGAGGAGGTAGTGGTGAGGCAGGAGGTGGTGACGGAGGGAGAGGTAGTGGTGAGGCAGGAGGTGGTGATGGAGGGAGGAGGTAGTGGTGAAGGGTGTGGAGGGAGGAAGAGGTGGTGGTGAAAGGTATGGAGGAGGGAGGAGTTTGGTGATGATGGAGGGGAAGGTGGTGATGTAGGTGGTGATGGTGAGAGGGGAGGCGGTCAAGGACAGGTGGGGGTGGTGAAGGACGAGGTGATTGCGTGGGTCAGTAAGTAGGTGGCTGGTGTCGCTCAGGTTCACACATGCCTCGATAATGGTGTTCGACCATGGGAACTACAGCTGTGAGGGGTGAGGAGTGAGGCAGTGGTTAGGAAGGGTGGATATGAGGGGTGAGGAGGTGGATCTGAGAGGTGAGGGGCGGATATGAGGGGTGAGGGATGGATATGAGGGGTTGGGGGATATGAAAGAGTGTGTGTGAAAGAAGGAGCGTATGAGAGCATATAATAAGTGTGTTGGAGCGTATACGGAGCGCGTCAGGAGCGCGCAGGTCAAGAAAGAGTCTGGGGGGGGAGGGGGGTAGAAGTGAACAAGGAGGCGGCAGCGTGTCACTAAGTGCCGGAAGGGCGACAGCCACCTCTAGTATTGAGCGCTGGAGCCACACCCTGGTCCTCCACACCCTGTGACATGACCTGGACGACAAGGGGAGAAATGGGGAATAGAAAGAAAGTGAAGAGGAAAGTAAGAGAAGGGTGAGAGAGGGTAAAGAAGGAAGGAAGAAGAGGTTGAGTCGTGATATTCAGTTTACAAGTTGAGGTAGATGACTCTCTAGGCACCAAGAGGGGTGATATTAAGTAACATTCAACAGTCGTGTCTTCTCTCTTTTGTTTACTAAACCTTTGATACATTAACTCATATTTTCATGTAAATTTGTAATCAAAACATAAACGTCACATTGTGTTTACATTCTCTGAACTGAGTGATATTAACGTGGGTTATATTTTTAGAATGATTCGTATATATTGTGGGCTGTGTTTTGTCCTTTTAAGGTTTGTGTATTGATGTTATCTATTGGTCTTTAACTAAGTAGTTTTGCAACAACCATTGTACTCTCTCTATCCTTCCCTATAGTTCTTACTCTGTTCCTTTATCAGGGAAGTTAACCAATGTCCAGCTCAGACACGTGATTCATTCTCTGCTGCCAACTATCAACACATAACTCTCACCTCAATGATCTCTTGAGTCATGGAATCTATCAGAAACAAACAATTACTGAGACACCTTCAAGGGCAATGTGGTTTCCGTTTCAGACAATCTACTGCACACGTTCTATCTGACCTGACCTCACTATACACTCACTCTCTTAACTGAAAATCATAACTTTACTCTCGAAAAGTTGGTCAAATCTTATCTTGTAGCTCTTGATATTTATAGAGGTTTTGATAAAGTATGATGGTTTCCAACTCTTCTTGACAACCTTTCACGTAATTATTTTGGTCTCTCCCTGCATCTCCTACTGGAGTGCCTCAAGGTTTCGTTCTTGTTCCTACGCTGTTGTACTCCCCATCAGGGGCCTCTTCTCCATAACATCCAATAGTACATCCTTTCCCCGAAGACATTAACCTACAGGTCTACTCAAACCTTTAATCTGCCACTCCAGTGTCCACACAGTTTATCCTTGCAGTAAATCGCTGAAACACTACAGCTGCACCGAACACAGACCTGAAGTTTATCGCTCAATGGGTCGTAAAGAATCTGGTTATGTTCAGCGTCACTTAGATAAAACTCTCAATGTCTCACCATTCATTGACACCCTCATCATGCCGGCCATCAATGTTAATATCGTTGATCTTATTATAACCAAAACCTCTCTTGAGTCCGTTTTCGGGATCATTCGTACTTCCACACAACTTTCTCTTAGTGCTACCCATGTCCGGCCCCCACCTGAAATAATGTACGCAGAGTGACGCACCACCACAGTCTTGTTTTTTTTATGATTATTCTAAATTTAAACTCAAAGCATTCACCTCATCAACGATCAGTCCTTCACTTCCTCATTACCTCTCCCCCATGGCGTGCCCTCAGTCTCTTTTATTACGGCTACGTCAGAGGAACAATACAGTCCATTAACTCACTCTCCCTAGTTTTAATCCCACACATTACTCTTTACTTTACCACCTACACTGTGTGCCGGGTTCATCCAGAAAACTTTGTCATTCATCAGGTTCATCCACACATTTCCCGACTATGTAACTCTCTTCAATATTTTTTCACTTCCTTTTGCCCATTTACATCAGAGGGTTACTGTTCCGCCATAATTATTTACGTCACGGGTAACTCAGACCACCGCCATGTTTGACAGACTAACTCCATAATACTGACTGTGTCCTGAGAGAGCAGATATATGTGATCATAAACATAGCTTCAAGGAACAAGAGCCATTATTCAGCTGGGGAGGAATTTGTTCTCAGAAGGACAGATTTTCCATATATTACCATGTATTTATATTTCGTCTGAACGTAATTTCCATGATATAAAAGTATTATATTTAGCGGGTGTGACACTATCTTGTTGATGAAGTATTGTCTGAACTATTATAATTCCACGGATGATAATTACGGTAACAATATTTCTACACAGAAGCGTCATTTAATGTTTACAAAAAACTTGTTGTCCTACACATGCACACAAATACCGTCATGCAAACGCGTATGCACACACACACACACACACACACACACACACACACACAGTAGACGGGAATTAGACACTGAAAGAGGGAAGGGGGAAGGGGGAAGGAAGAAGAAACAATGGTATATAAAAGGTAATGGATGACAATGATAAAAAACGGAAGGAAAGAAAGAAAAAGAAAAAAATAGAAGGAAAAAACAGACTATAAAGAAGATATAAAAGAATTAAAGAAAGATATACAAAAAAGAGAAAGTGAGAAAAATAAGAAAGAGAGATAGCAAACTAAGAAGAGGAAAAACAAAGAAATAACAATGAGAATAAGAAGGAAATACATAAACAAAAAAACAATAAAAGATGAAGGGATAAAGGGGAGAGAGATAAAGAGAGAGAGAGAGAGAGAGAGAGAGAGAGAGAGAGAGAGAGATAATTATCATCTTTTAAGACGATCAGTCAAGATGGTTAAACACAAAATCAATGCGAAGAAAGTGAAGTGATGAGGTCAGGTGGTGGAGGTGGTGGTGGTGGAGGTCAGGTGGTGGTGGAGGTCAGGTGGTGGAGGTCAGGTGGAGGATGTCAAGTGGTGGAGGTCAGGTGGTGGAGGTCAGGTGGTGGAGGTCAGGTGGTGGTGGAGGTCAGGTGGTGGTGGAGGTCAGGTTGTGGAGGTTAGATATTTAGATTAAACAGTGGGAGTTAAGTGGGGGGTGTGGGGTGGGTACGTGGGGAGTCAGGTAGAGGGTGTGGGGAGTAAAGTGGGGTGGGTACGTGGGAAGTTAAGCGGGAGGGGATTTGGGGTGGGTACGTGGGGAGTTAAGTGGGGTGAGCTGGCAGAATAATCACCGCCCCACATGACACCAATCCACGAGCCTCCACACAGGAAGAGAAATAATTATTCCTCGGAGAATGAAAATATAAATCCAACTTCGGGTGAAACATAAAAATTCCTCAAGGAAAACTAGTCGGGTACTTGCTCACCAGAAGCTTGTCATTAACATGTTAAAAATAGCAGTGAGGGTATATCATGGTCAAGCAAGAAGGGACTCCACCTGTCAGGGCAGTAATTACGTGACTCTCCACAAGAAAATGTGACTCCTAAACTTTTCACTAACTCAATAGCCAGACATGATCTTATTACCTGAGGCAACATTACTCCATAACGCTGAGAAACTCGTGAGGTAATACCTAACATTAAAGAGACGAAGTAGGTGATTGAACACTACGGTATATTTATATTTTGTGCGGTGTTTGCCAGTGTGTTGAAGCTTGATGAAACCGTCAGCCCAAGTGTTGTGAGTACTCTAGTATGAACACTTATGGGGGCACTACATGAGGACGTGTGTGTGTGTCCACGAGTTCACACACAAGCACCT